CCGCCCACCTTGGTGTCGTCTGCAAATTTAACCAGTTTACTGTATGTATTTGTGTCAATATCATTAATGTAAATTAGGTACAATAGAGGTCCTAAAATTGAACCCTGCGGTACCCCACTATGAACGGAGGCCCACTGTGACATTGTGCCTCTAATAACTACTCGATACTTCAATCCATTATGTCACCTACTGAAATGTGATCTTCAGTAAAATTGAATTAATTAAATTATTTGAATAAAAAAATTAGCAATTAATCAATTAAATGGGTAATTTTAATTGACATTTAAGGGGGCCCTATTATGCTTTTCTGTTTTTTCCCTTTCCTTTAGTGTGTTATATAACCTATATAGCCTTATGTGCATGTACATGATCTACAAAGTCTTAAAGCCCAAAGTAATCACCAAAGGGTGTACCTCTCACCACAGAAACCACTCTTCTCTAATCTGCTTGAAACGCCTCGTTAGAATTCCAGCCCTTACTTACGTGACACGGTGAGGAAAAATCATATCATAATCCTTATTGGCTGCCTATCTGTAAGCTTGGCACACTCTCAGAAACCTACAGTCTGCTAAGCAACTTTTCCCAACAAGGGCGGAACATTTAGGGCAAGCTAACCAATCAAACAAGCTGATCAATCAGAGCACAATGGGCTCATTAGGGGTGGGGCTTAAAGCTCTACCAGAGTGTTTCAGACAGAGTTATAGACAGAGTGAATAGAGATGTACAGTATAAGAAAAATGATGTGTTTTTGGAACATCAAAGCATGTAAATCTATTGTAGTAGACCCTAAAAATAAAAATATGAACAGAGAAAATGAGGATAATAAGGCCTCTTTAATAATAAATTGATTAAATTAATTATCGACCTATTTCATAAGCTCCACTTACGAAGACAAGTCAGACATCATAAAATACATGGAATTCAGCTTTAATTTTCCCTTGTAGATTCACTCTAAGTCAGTTATTTTATTCTAGCTTATGCAAGCTCTGAAAAATTTCCTCCTGCACTTTAATGCACTTTGCCTTGGTGTTACAAACTGCTAACTGTGCATGACTTAAGGGAAAAGCATCTTGAATATACCCTGCTAAATTTCCACAAAAATATGCAGTTAGGAAGCTGTAGCATGAAGCAATGAAACGCCCACACACTTCACCATGGCCTCTGTATTCTCCAACTTATTCTCTGAGCCAGACATGGTGACAGAATCTGCTCCAGTCATCTCCACTCCATCTGCTTGGAGAGACACAGAAAGAAAAATGACATGTACTACATATACTCCTCTATGCTAATTTTTCCAAGAATTAATAATATTGCGTTAACCTCTTACTTTGAATGGATCATTCATTTATTTGAAATTTGGATACCTGCTTAAGCAAAGTAATGTTGCTTTAATCTTTGAAAATTAAATGAAAATGAAAACAAATGGCACTGGAAGACATCAGAGACTAGAACAGTGTGTAATGTTTGGAAAAGACTATTTTGTAAACGTTCAGCAATGCCATTAAAATTAGCTCACTTTCGCTAATCTGAAACCATGATGTCGTTACATCCATGACAGAAACAGTGTAAGAATATAAAACAGTGGAATATATGGGATTACGGTTGAGTGGGACAGGCACGTACCCTTGAACAGGGTGACATCAGCAGCTGGCTTGGCATCCTTGGCAGTGCAGGTAACAATATACTCCTGTCCTGCTATCCAAGGTTCCTCTGTGTTAACCTCAATGATGAGCTTGGATGGGGGAACTGTAGTAAGGTACAAAACTCAGCTTAAGATAGATCTCTCAAATTTCTGTAAACAAGGCCTCTTATTGCATGGCCAAAGGCAAGATCCCTAGTAAGGTGCAGCGATGGCCACCAGAGGGGGCCCGTAAGCACCGTTGTAATAATCGAATGAAGTATTCGCGTGTGTTCCAGAGTACTACATACAGTTAATTCTAACACGTCGTGGGGATTAGGGGTGCAGGCTATCTGGAAAAACTTCTAAAAATGTTTTGTTCCCCTTGGTGAGCGAGGCGAAGCACATCAACATTAACAAAACACAAACGTCAAGACAAAAGCATTAACAAATTTCATTTTTAATGTTTAGTGCTTTCTTAATGTATTGCGGTTTTCAAGATGGAAGTACTCCGTGCCAGAGGGGGCAGCATTCAACTCTCGATTTCGTGCTTCAATCTCTACGACAGCTGGTTAGTGTCAACATGCTACAAATTCAGAGAACAGTTACCGGACCTGCTTGTTAAATGGTTTTACATTTAGGTTGTTTATGAACAGAAAAAAACCTAAACGTTATATTCTGAGAGCATTGTCATAAACGGACAAAAAATGAGTATGTTGGTGAACATATAGTTGAACGAATCGTTTCATATCATGGCTGCTTTATTTAACCTATTCCAGAGATATAGGCTTAGATTGATTTTTGTCTTTATTTTGAGATTTGTATTTGGAATAAATAAAGCGTCTATATGTAGGTATGTCACTATCACCAGTTCTGCGCCATAGGGGCTTTGGCAGGCAGCCTCGTTTTCAATTTGGTCGCTATTCCCCAGAGCACCAGGGTATCCCAATAGTTTTTGCCTTTTTGTTGTGTTATTTTTGTGTCTATTAGGGTAACCCGTTCTGATAACGTAAAACACACCTT